GGAGAGTTCTCTTGATTGGGTCATCGCTAAGCATACTTTCCGGAGAGTTCATTATCCTTTAGGCTCGGTAACTTCTGGCTGTTCCTTGTTTGCTGCTAAGTTGGCTGGTTTTTCTAAAAATCGGTCTGTTGTTTCTACACTTTTAGAAGAAGGCAAGACATGAACTTAATTGTCTTTTTCGTAACTGTAGACCTCAACTCATTCCCAAGGGTGAAAGGGCTGCTAGAACATAGTTTACTTTTTCCGTTTAAAAGCAGAAGGCCTGGGTTCACGTTTCAGTCCAAGCCTGTGATCCTGGATGACTCTTGTAGTCTTTGAGCCTCATGCTTCCTTTTCTCGGAGTAAGACTAATGTCTTATGTGCCCATCTCCAAGTGGCTGGGAGGTCCAGTGAGATGGTGGATGTGAGAAGCCTTTGTAAATTTGGAGCAGGCCTGACTTTTCATGGCTTTATCCTAGCACCTGCTATGTAAATATAGATAATTTTTAAAAAGTGCCTGGCATAGAGTAGAGCTCACAACATATTTGTCGAATGAGTGAAATCAAAGGTAGTTTTCCCATTTATAACTAATTGACTCATTAAATCTTTACTTCATTATTCACTGAACTTGATGTTCCAGCAAGTGGCCGAGCCCTGAGGGCTGTGTGGTCCTCCACGCCACTATGAGAATCTTTCTGAAATAAAGCTAGGGTGATGTCCATGGCCCCTCCAGAACCCCTCAGTTTACGTTGGATCGTAGCACAGCACGCGATCTGCGGTCTGGCCTCTGCCTGTCTTCTCATTTCATGTTCCATTGTTTCCTTCCACATACCCTTGTTCTAGCCATGCTCACTGTTTTAAAAACCCTGTTGTTGTAAAATCTATTTACCAGAAAGTATATAAAATATGAGTATATGGTCAATGATTTATTATAAAGAAGCCATGTGTGTAACCACCATGCAGGTCAGGGGTAGAACCCTGTCGGCCCCAGAAGCCCCCAGCCCCTTCCTAGCACAGCCAAGGGTAACCATGGACTTGGCTCTGTGGCCTCGCTCACGTCCTATCCAGAAGCTGAGAGGGACCCACTGCGCCTTGGCAGCATCTGATGCTTGTCAGTGCCTTCACTCACCGCATTTCTCCTTCTCAGACTTTTTCCTCTGGTTGGCAACAGCTTGTCTCGAGGCCTGGCTCTAAAGTGACATCTTCTCTGCCTGTGCCCCTGCGTGTGCTGCCCCTCGTTCCCGGCTCCATGACAGCTTGCATTTTGCCCTAGGCTGTAAAGCTCTCGCCCCTCCACCCCCGTCCAGCAGAGCTTTGGCAGCAAGGGGAGCGTTTTTCCCCCGGGCCCCCAGTATCCACTTGACATGTGGGACTTGAATGAAAATTGGAATGTAAGTAGCCACCTGGCTGCCGTGTGAAGCGGGGGTGCTGGGTGGGTGTAGGTGCTGATGGGTGTGTGGGGTGAGTTGGAGGGGGATGTGGAGCCAGTGAGAATGCCCCACCTGTGGGCGGAGGGGTGATGTGAAGCAGGGGGAGAATTGGGGAAGAGACCTGTGACCCAGACCAGGGCGTTCTGTTCGCCTCCAACCTTTGAGTCAGCCCTCATCGCATCCCTCATGGCCTCTGAGCTGCTCCTGTTTCTTACCTCGTCCCTTCTTCAGCCCATTCCTAGTGCCGTTGCCAAAGTTACCTCTTCAATCTCCTTAGTTTTTGCTTAAAATCCTTCCTGGACTTAAAAAAAAGAAAAAAAAAAGAGAGTCTTGTTCTGTTGCCCAGGCTGGAGTGCAGTGGCAGGATCCAGCTCACTGCAGCCTCGGACTCCTGGGCTCAGATGATCCTCCTGCCTCAGCCTCTTGAGTAGCTGGGACCACAGGCGGGCCCTGCCATGCCCGGCTAGCTTTTTACTCTTTATAGAGATGGAGTCTCGCTATGTTGCCCAGGCTTGGTCTTGAAATCCTGGGCTCAAGCGATCCGCCCGCCTTGGCCTCCTAAAGTGCTGGGATTACAGGTGTGAGCCACCACACCTGGCCTCCTGGATGACTTTTCATTGTGGAAAATTCAACTTAAACTTTAAATCTTTCTGTTCCTCCCTGTTCATATTGAATCTTTGCAAGGAAATTATAAAACAAACATGATTACTGAGTACAACTTAAACTCCAGTTTCCAGCAAGTAAAGATATGAGTTCTCTTCTGTGTAGACTCTGCGCTTTTTGGCACTTGTGCTGCATTGCACAGCCAACTGCATTGGCCATTGTTCTCCTTATCTCCCATTCATTTATCATTTAGGTGTTCATCCCTGAAGTATGTTTTGAAAAAGAAACGTGTTCCAGATGATTCTGGGGGCTGAGGGGAATTCAGAGATGAATCAGATCCTGTCTCAGGGAGCTTATCACCCAGCACAGCTGAAAGTAATGAGAGGAAAGACGGTCGCCGGTATTTAGGAAGCACTTTTACTATGCCATTCACCCTACCGAGGGCTTTGCCAGTGTATTTTAAATACATTTAACAGCGCTTCCTTCTACAGTTACTTGGGTACTTGCCCTGTGCCAGGTACTTTGTTAGGTGCTGGGGAGATCACCTCCAACAAGATGGTCTCCTTTTCTTCAGGGGGCTTACAGCCTGCAGTGGGGGTCAGTGTTGAGGTGCGCTGCCATCTGCTCTGTGGGGGGCCATGTGGAGACTCAGACTCGGGGCTTCCACAGCAGAAGCTCGTCAGTCCTGGAGTCCGGGTTAGACCGCCAGCACGGTTGGGTTCTGGTGAGGCCTCTTCCTGGCTTTCAGATGGCTAAATTCTCACTGTGTCCTCACATGGTGGGGACAGAGGTCTCTCTCTCTTCTTATAAGACCACCAGACCTGTGGGATTAGGACCCCACCCTTAAGACCTCATTTAACTTTAGTAGCCTCCTAAAAGCCCTATCTCTACATACAGTCATTGAGGTTAGAGCTGCAACACTTGAATTTCGGGGGGGACACAGGTCAGTCCATAGCACCCAGCTTTGGTGATTCAGGGAGGGTTTGCTGGAGGAGATATCAGGAAGTTAAACCCCGAAAGATGAGAGCACTTACCAGGCAAAGGCAGGAGGGCAAGTGGATGGACAGGAAGCTTGCTAGAGGGCGTGGCACATGCAGAGACCCTGAGGTGACAGAGGGGCGATATGTTTGGGAAGCTGTCAGTCACAGCAGTATCCATGCCAGTGTGTCACAGAGTGAGATGGGCTTCATTAGAAGGACAGGCGTACATTTCTGTGAAAGTTCCAAGGATGCCCCAGAAGGGAGAGGTGGCCGTTGGTGGCATCTTGAGTGTCAGGGATGTTGTGCGTGTGGGGATGCCAGCAGGGAGAGGCAGATTGCAGCCTCAGGAGGACTTTGACATAAAGGTATGGACGCAGGAGGGCCAGGGACCTCCATGGGCAAGAGTTCCGTGTGGCGGAACACACTGCAGAGTGAGGATGGCGCTCGTCCGGCAAGAATGTGGCGAGGAGTCCGTGTCAAGCCAGTGTCGGGTCAGCGTAGGGTCCGGTCCATGTGAAACAGTCTGGAAACAGTTTTTATAAACACAGGATTTGTAGGCACTTCAACTTTTCGTTGAGTTTCCACTGCCCAAGTCTTAGCATTGTGTTTTTGTTATTATTGTTTTTTCCTTTAAGGAACAGAAGTCCCTTTTTCATTCAGTTACTTGGTGATTAAAAACATGATGATGTGCTCTTGGGCCCAGGGGTAAACTTCAAGGTAAAAAAGTCCTTTTACCAATGTATGTTTACTTTTTACAGATTATGATTCTGATGCGATGAGCAGCTCTTACGAATCGTATGATGAAGAGGAGGAGGATGGGAAGGGGAAGAAAACCCGGCACCAGTGGCCCTCCGAGGAGGCCTCCATGGACCTGGTCAAGGACGCCAAAATCTGCGCCTTCTTGTTGCGGAAGAAGCGGTTCGGCCAGTGGACCAAGTTGCTCTGCGTCATCAAAGACACCAAACTGCTGGTAAGACATTTGGAATCGCTTGCATTTTTGTACTCAAAAGCCATGGAGTTTATGTCCAGTCACCATTAACATCAGCTGTGTAGGAAGGGCAGCGCTCAGACCTCAGCCAGGTACCCTGAGCTCGCCGCAGTCCCACGCCGGGGGCCCCCACACACTGTCAGGGAGCACTCACCCGTGTTGTGTGTTCAAGGTTGCTGGTTTCCCAGCTCCAGAAGCAGCCAGCAGACAAAATCATTCCCATTCCTGGGCAGTGCCTGTGGTTTGCGTCTGTGGAAATGCACAAGATTTTAACTTGCCAGGAGTTGCAAGATGGATTTTCTCATTTGTAATGAGTCAGTGGATTCCTCAAAGCCAGCTCATAGAAGTGGGACGGGGAGCAGCCAGGAAAGGAAATTCTTTTGGAAAGCTTGGGGCCAATTTTTTTTTTTTTAATCTGAGAGGCAGAACAGGAAGACAAGTAAGGAACAGAGAAGCAGGGAAGGGGAGAACCTGGACCTTGCTGTGGGGTTATTCCAGTGGAGGCCCCAGCAGGGAGGCTGCAGCCCAGGAGGACGCTGTGTGGCATCCCTCCCTCCTCCCTCCTCCCCACTCCCTGTCCACCTTCCTTTTTTTCCTCCTGCCCTTTTTTAGAAACTATGGCTGGTTATTGGAATTATGAACTTTAAGAGTATGTTTTTGCCTTTTGTTCTTCCCTCAGATTAACCTTGGGGGAGACATTGCTGAAAATTACATCATTAATTAGAAAACGAGAATTTATGTTTCTGTAGAGCACTCTGTGGAACAGATAATCCTTTTTTTTTTTTTGGTAAATCCAGGCTTCGTCTTTGAATTGTGGGAATCTTTTTTTTTTTAGACTAAGTTCCTAGGATATTATATATTTTTTAATGTTTTTGTTCAGTTTTTTAAACAGAGTATATATTTTTTCCACAAGTGTGGCCTGAATTTCTCCCAGATTTAGAACGTGCCAAAAATGATGCCATGGGGAATATTAAAAAATGAGAAAAAGAAGATTAATGTGGTCCTTATTTACAGTCTGATATAATGACTACAAGATGTGGATATATTATATAAATGTTTTAGAAATGCATAATCAACTTTCATTTAAAAGAGAAGCTTCCAAATCCAGTGAGGGAAGCTTCGTGCTTGTGCGTAGGGATTAACGGTTTGGGGCTCTGAGTCCCTGGTCCCTCTCCCCTGCCCTCCTCTCCCTCATACCCTGACTTCTTCCCCTCTCCCCTGCTTTGTCTTCCATTTGGGCTCCTACCAGCTTTCCCCCTTCAAAACCAGGATGATAATACCTACGACTTAGAGTAGTTGTGAATATTTAAGAAGAAATTAGTGGACAAGCAAGTGAAAGCACTGTCTTTGGTCAAATGCAGAATCAAAGTTATTTTTATGATGAAGCTTTTTTCCTTTCAAAAATGACCTGTCATTCAGGGCCCAGATGACCCCCATTGGCATAAAAAATAATGAACAGTGATAAAAGCAAATGCTTTCCAAGTTTAAACAGCACAGAAAAGAAAAAGCCGTTCTTCCCCTAAATGTTCCCAGTCTGTCTTCCCACAAGTTACCGCCATTAACAGCTTTTTTTATATCTCCTTCTGGAACTTGTTCCTTCTGTGCTCAGGTAGCTCTGGGGTGGGTACTGTGATGTACCCAGATTCCCGCTTCAGGACTGAAGGTTGCATTTCCTTGGCAGGGCTGGTGAACCCACCTCGGGGACTGTCTGCATTGAAGAGGGGCCTAGAGCCCAAGGCCAAGCTCCCTCCCCAGGGGTCTGCATTCACTGTGTGTGCGGGAGGTACAGACCCAGACTCACTGGGCAGCTCTGATGGGGCCTTCCAGCCCCAGAGCTCTCATGGTGGTATCCATCCCTGAGGCCACTCAAACTGGGCATCTTTGCCCACCCCACTCCTCCCTCTCCTTGCTCCTGGTGGTGTGTTCAGGACGCCGGTCCATTAACCTCCTGCATGCTGCTGTCTGCTGTAGAGGCGGCTTCCCAGGAAATCCAGCCTGCTGGGACTGCCAGATTGCAGCTTGTCCTATTGCTGATAGTATATCTCTTGTGAGACATTTAACTTAAGGGGGAATATGTTATAAAGTTCCCTTTCTGAAATAAGCGTTTGTCCTCCTATTGCTGATAGCGTATCTCTTGTGAGACATTTAACTTAAGAATATGTTATAAAGTTGCCTTTCTGAAATAAGTGTTCGAGATGGTGGGCATGCTAATTACCCTGATCTGATTGCTATACATTTTATGTATCAAAACATCACTCTGTACCCCATGAATACGTACAGTTATTATATGTCGATTACAAAGGTTTACACAATTCAAAATAAAAAAATAAAATTCCCTTTCTGATTCCTTCCATTGTACGATTAGTTGCCTTTCACCTTTCTTTTTATATGTACTCAAAATGTAAAACATCTCAAATGGTAAACATTCATAAAAATCTGAGGTTAGTTGAGGTATTTTTTTTCTCCCTTTTCAGATCAGTTGAGTTTTTAAAAAGGAAATATATTTCTTATCTGTGTACTTCAAAGTACTGGATTTAGAACAGCAAAAGGGAAGGCCAGGCGCTGTGGCTCACCTGTAATCCCAGCACTTTGGGATGCTGAGGCAGGCGGATCATGAGGTCAGGAGTTTGAGACCAGCCTGGCCAATCTGGTGAAACCCTGTCTCTACTAAAAATATAAAAATTAGCCAGGTGTGGTGGTGCACGCCTGTAGTCCCAGTTACTCAGGAGGCTGAGGCAGGAGAATTGCTTGAACCCGGGAGGCGGAGGTTGCAGTGAGCCAAGATCGTGCCACTGAACTCCAGTCTAGGCAACAGAGTGAGACTCCATCTCAACAAACAAACAAAAAAACAAAACACACACACACGAAACAAACCAGGAAAGGACTCTAGAAATCCCTTCTGAAAATAGCTGTCTATTCATTCCTTCCTTCATCAGTGAATGTTTAGAGTCAAGATGCAGGCTCTGCACGAGCACAGTTGGGGCTGCAGTCCTGGTCTGTCGCTTTTCAGGTTGCCTGACTCTTCAGGCAGGTGACTTAACCAGCTGCACCTGGTTTCATAATCTGCAGAATGAGCCACCGTGCCGACTGAGGTGCTTGAAATGCCTCATATGATGTTGAAACTCAGCACTTGGTAGCAGATGTTATTGTTGCTGATAACTTAATTCAATAAAATAATAATAACTGCAAAACACATTTTGCAAATGAGGAAACAGACTCAGGAAGTTTAAGAAACTCCCTGGGCCAGGCACGGTGGCTCACGCCTGTAATCCCAGCACTTTGGGAGCCTGAGGTGGGTGGATCACGAGGTCAGGAGATCGAGACCATTCTGGCTAGCACGGTGAAACCCCGTTTCTACTAAAAATACAAAAAATTATCTGGGCGTGGTGGCGTCGCCTGTAGTCCCAGCTACTCGGGAGGCTGAGGCAGGAGAATGGCGTGAACCCAGGAGGCGGAGCTTGCAGTGAGCCGAGATTGTGCCACTGCACTCTAGGACCCAGATCTGCCCTCTTGGACTGTTAGGAGGTATGCTTTGGCCCCAAGTAGTACAGGTAAACAAACGGGGGTAGGGAAAGCTTTGGGCAAGGATTTGATTCTCAGTTTTACAGATAAAGATTAAGCAAGACCCATTTGAGTTAAGTCTCAGTTCTAATCTTACCAATTGCAATCTTTAGAGTGAATGTCCGTTGTGTAGATGGATCAGCTTTGTACACTATATATTGATATTATCCTCTTACTAAAATAATTTATGTCTTTCAGAAAGAAGATGAGATAGGCAGATACCAAGCAATATCAGTTATTCAATAAAGTACCCGAATGATTATATTATCTCTCATTAGGGCTGTGGAGTTGCAACAAATCTAATAGTATATTTTATATATTATTCACATAAATATAAATGTATTTTACATATACATCTAAATAAACATGTTAAATATAGATTTATGTGTGCGTGTTGGGTGTTTTGTTTTGTTTTGTTTGTCTGAGACAGAGTCTCTCTGTCTCCCAGGCTGGAGTGCAGTGGTGCTGTTATGGCTCACTACAGCCTCGGGCTCCCAGGCTCAAGGGATCCTCCTGCCTCAGCCTCTCAAGCAGCTGGGAGTACAGGACCGCGCCACCATGCCTGGCTGATTTTTTGTGTTTTTGGTATAGATGGGGTTTCTTCATGTGGCCTAGGCTGATCTCGAATCCCTGGACTCAAGTGATCCACCTGCCTCAGCCTCCCAAAGTGTTGGGATTACAGGCGTGAGCCATCGTGCCCAGCCTATGTTTTTAGTTATGTAACTACATTCCTGTAATTCAATGGAGAAGCTCCACTGGATCATAAGTGTATCAGAGGAGGGACTTTTGGTGTTTGTTGAATCCAGCGTTAGATGCTCAGTAAGCTTTTGTGAGTCAGTGAATGGGTGTACTTCTTCACGCTTGGAGGCGAAGTGTCGGTGAAGAGCACTGTGTGTGTGAACTTGCTCATCTGCAGATTCAGACCTTCCGATGCCGTGCCTGCACTCATGTTTTCATGATGCTAGAGTTTCTTCAGCATTTCTGTTTGAACTCCCTTATAATATCAGTTGATTTGTTGTGTTGAATGCAGTGCTATAAAAGTTCCAAGGACCAGCAGCCTCAGATGGAACTGCCGCTGCAAGGCTGCAACATTACGTACATCCCAAAAGACAGCAAAAAGAAGAAGCACGAGCTGAAGATAACTCAGCAGGGCACGGACCCGCTGGTGCTTGCCGTCCAGAGCAAGGAGCAGGCCGAGCAGTGGCTGAAGGTAGGTTGTCTGCTGTGTTTCGCAGCCATTTCAGTACCACGTGCCTTTCTGAGATCCATTTTAATTTTAATTTTAATTTTGTTCAAGCATAGGCAAGATGGATTAACCCAAAGAGTTTCGTCTTTAATAGCTAAATATTCGGATGATGTGGAGGTTAAGCAGAAACCCGTGTCACTTTCACTCTTATATTTAAAAGGCAGTTTGTCTCTGTAGGCTGCTTCTACGACTTTCTCTTTTACTTTTATTTTCTACAGCGTCACTTTATTGTGTCTGCATATGGATTCTTTTAAAATTTGATTCTACTTGGGATTGGCTGGGCTTCTTTCTAAGTTTTGGGAAAAATTTTCAGCCATTTTCTTAAAATACGGCTTTTCCCCATTTCTCCTTCTTCCCTGAGACTACATTTAAATATATGTTAGACTTTCTCACTATATTTACTTCTATTCTCTTTTGTATTTACCAACCTTTTTTCTTTGTTGAAACAAGGCTTGGCTCTGTTGCCCAGGCTGGAATGCGGTGGTATGATCTCGGTTCACTGCAACCTCTGCCTCCCGGGTTCAATCGATCGTCCCACCTCAGCCTCCCAAGTTAGGTTGGATTACATGCCACCATGCCTAGCTAATTTTTGTATCTTTTCTAGAGACAGCATTTCTGTATGTGGCCCAGGCTGGTCTCGAACTCATGAGCTCAAGCGATCCGCCCACCTTGGCCTCCCAAAGTGCTGGGATTACAAGTGTGAGCCATCATGTCCAGCCCTACCATTCTTTTTTCTTCTTTAGCCTGGTTTATTTTTCTTGTTACTTTCCAGCCCATTATTTCTCTCTTTGGCTGCTTCTAATCTGCCATTAAATTTGTTCCTGTTCTCTGGGTTCTTAATTTTGGTGATGGTAGTTGTCTTAGTCTACTTGGATTGCTCTGATGAATATGATAAACTGAGTGGCTTGTATACAACAAATGTATTTCTCACAGTTCTGGAGGCTGGGAAGTCCAAGATCAAGGGACTGTTCCATTCAGTGTCTGGCGAGGGCCTGCTTCCTGGTCCACAGATGGCACCTTCCATCTGTGTCCTCGTGGTGGAAGGGACAAGGCAGGTCTCTAGGGCCTCTTTTATAAGGGCACCAATCCCATTCGTGGGGGCTCTGCCCTCATGACCTATCACTTCCCAGAGGTTCTGCCTCGTAACACCATCCTCTTAAGGGTTAGGATTTCAGGATATGAATTTGGGGGAACACATTCCGTCCATGGCAGTAGTGTGCAGTCCTGGAATCTCTAATCTTTTTGGTTTTTGTTTTAGAGTTCGTTTTGGCTTTTATCTAGAATTTGCAGTTGTTTCTTCTTCAAGCTGGAAATACTATTTGTGCAGTGTTAAATTTCTTTTAGAAACGTTGACTTTTGTCTTCATGAATGTCATCAGCATGGTGGTTTGACAGTGGTTTTGGTGGAGTTTGAACCTGGTTCTGTTGTCTGTTGTGCTGTTCTTGTTCAGGTCATGTTTGGCATCCTTGTGCCAGGTTATCGCAAGTTCACGCTAGGCATTATATTAGGGGAAAAATTATTGAAATAATTTTTTTATAACAGCGTTATTGAGGTATAATTCACATACTGTAAATTCACCCTTTTCAAGTCCAATTCAATGTTTTGTTTTTTTTTTTTTTTTGTATATTCACTGAGTTGTGCAACCATCACCATAATCTAGATTCTGAATTTCATCGCTCCCAAAAGAACATTGTACTGGCTGGGCGCAGCAGCTCATGCCTGTAATCCTAGCCCTTTGGGAGCCAAGGTAGGCTGATTGCTTGAGCCTGGGAGTTTGAGACCAGCCTAGACAACATGCAGAAACCCTGTCTCTACTAAAAGATACAGAAAATCAGCTGGGCATGGTGGCACGTGCCTGTAGTCCCAGCTACTTGGGGGACTGAGGTGGGAGAATCACCTGAGCCTGGGAGGTTGAGGCTGCAGTGAGCTGTGACTACACCACTGTACTCCAGCCTGGGTGATAGGAGTGAGACCCTGTCTCAAAAACAAATAATGCCGTACCCATTAGCAGTCACTGCCCTTTTGCCACCACCCCTGTCCATCTTAGGCAGCCACTTATCTGCTTCCTGTCTCCGTAGAGCTGCCTGTTGTCAGCATTTCACAGAAGTGGCTCTTACAGTGCATGGACTTTTGTGCCTGGCTTCTTTCACTTAGCGTCGTGGTTTCAAGGTCCGTCCATGTGGAAGCAGATTTCAGTTCTTCCTTGCTCTTTATTGCTTCTTGAGTCATATGTAAGAAATGATTACTTGATCCAGGGTCCTGAAGGTTTACATGTATACTTTATTCTGAGAAGTTTACAGTGTTAGCTCTTATATTTAGACTTTTGATCCACTTGAATTTAATTTTTTGCCTATAGTGTGAGGTAGGGGTCCAACTTCATTCTTTTTCCTGTGGGTCCCCAGTTGTTCCTATGGAAATAACTTCATTCCTAGAACTCTGCTTTCCACTACCAAGGAGCATTTTCCCTTGCCTCTCCCACATGCGTGGGGGTGTTAGCACTCCAGAATCCGTTTATTCTAAATTCAGGGTTTGAGGTTTTCAGAGCCACCCAGGTAACTTTAAGGCAGCCCGCGGCCCATTCAAAGGTAGGTTTCTATTTCTTTCAGTTCACTCTTAACTCCAAGTTACATTCCGTTGGGGTCTCCGTCCTGCTTGTGGGTGTTTTGCCAGGGACCCCGTCCTTGGCATGCCCTGGACCACAACTTGGATCTCTCTTCCCACTGAGCCATTGGAGGTTCTCCCTTGCCCCTCAGCTGCCCCCTTGGGATGGCAAGGCAGCCCCAGCCACCAGGCTTCCCTTCTGAATTTCCATCTTCTTCTGGATTTCGGCGCAGGCATTGCTCACTATCAGGCATTTGGGTTGGTTCCACATTTTTGCAGTTGTGGATTGTGCTGTTATAAACATGTGTGTGCAAGTGTGTTTTTCATATAATGCCTTCTTTTACTCTGGATAGATACCAAGTAGTGGGATTGCTGAATCGAATGGTGCTTCTACTTTTAGTTCTTTTAAGAAACCTCCAGGTCGGGTGCGGTGGCTCATACCTGTAATCTCAGCACTTTGGGAGGCTGAGGCAGGCAGATCACAAGGTCAGGAGATCGAGACCATCCTGGCTAACATGGTGAAACCCTGTCTCTACTAAAAATACAAAAATTAGCCAGGTGTGGTGGCGGGCACCTATAGTCCCAGCTGCTTGGGTGACTGAGGCAGGAGAATCGCTTGAACCCGAGAGGAGGAGGTTGCAGTGCCACTGCACTCTGGCCTGGGTGACAGGGGGAGACTCCATCTCAAAAAAAAAAGAAAAGACATCTCCACTCTGTTTTCCATAGTGGTTGTACTAGTTTACATTCCCACCAGCAGTGTAGAAGTGTTCCCTGCTCACCACATGTACACCAGCATCTATTATTTTTTGATTCTGGTTGTTCTTGCAGGAATAAGGTCGTATCACATTGTGGTTTTGATTTGCTTTCCCTGATCATTAGTGATATTGAGCATTTTTTTGTATGTTTGTTTTGGCCATTTGTATAACTTCTTTTGAGAATTGTCTGTTCATGTCCTTAGCCCACTTTTGATGGGATTGTTTGGTTTCTTCTTGCTAATTTGAGTTTGTTGTAGATTCTGGATATTGGTCCTTTATCGGATGTATCAATGGTGAAGATTTTCTCTCACTCTGTGGGTTGTCTGTTTACTCAGCTGACTGGTTTTGCCATGGAAAAGCTCTTTAGTTTAATTAAGTCCCAGTTAATCGCATTTGCTTTTGGGTTCTTGGTCATGAAATCCTTGCCTAAGCCGATGTCTAGAAGGGTTTTTCTGATGTTATTTTCCAGAATTTTTATAGTTTCAGGTCTTGGGTTTAAGTCCGTCATCCATCTTGAGGTGATTTTTGTACAAGGTGAGACATGAGGATCCAGTCTTATTCTCCTACATGAGGCTAACCAATGATCTCAGCACCATTTGTTGTACAGGGTGTCCTTGCCCCGCTTTATGTTTTTGTTTGCTTTGTTGAAGGTCAGTTGTATTTGGGTTTATTTCTGGGTTCTCTATTCTGTTCCCTTGGCCTATGTGCCTATTTTTATACCAGTACCATGCTGTTTTGGTGACTATGGCCTTATATTATAGTTTGAAATCAGATGAGATGTGATGCCTTCTTTTGTTTGTTCTTTTTGCTTAGTCTTGCTTTGGCTATGCGGGCTTTTTTTTTTTTTTTCATATGAATTTTAGGATTTTTTTCCAGTTCTGTGAAGAATGATGGTTATCTTGCTTTTCTAATTGTCTTCTTCAGGAAGATTGCCCCAACCCACCTAGTCCATCATTGCCAGCAAGTACCTGTTGTGAGAAAAGGGCTCAGGAGTGGGGTGGCGAAACACTTCATAGCAGTGGGTCTTATACCACTCAGGTCTCCCTCCATCAACCTTCAGTCACTTTCGCTGTCATCCGCAGGAAAGCATGTGGTTCAGACCCCATGATAAGACCAGTAGCTGCCACCGCTGTCTGCGAGCTGCTCAGGACACACACATGCTTTCTTTTTCATGTTGGCAGTGACTGTGGCTCTTCCCACATCTGTATCATATGGGAGATTGAGAAGAGCTTTTTTCCCCTCTGGACGATCCTTCTGGAAGTCCTGCAATCGGGAGTTTTTACTGTCGAGTTTTCTTAGCCTTCCCAGCATAGAGCTTTAATATGTTATACGTCAGCCACCACCATTACCAATTTCACTAAAGCCCTTTACACTCACAAGGAACTTCTCTGCCATCATTGTCTCTTAATCTCAGAACAGGCGTGTGTAGTTTCATTTGTCAACTGACAGCCTGAGTCTCAGGTGGGCTAAGTGCTACCATGATCGATAAGTGATCAAGCAGGGGGTCCAAGTCAGATTTTCCTGGCTTCACATTTCATTCTCATTGTGTTGGGCCATCTGACAGTTTGCCATTCCCTCTTTTATTCCACATTTCTGTGACCATAGTGC